TCTTGAGAAATTTTATGTTTATTGTCCCCCCCTACTGTTAGATGAAATGTACGCCCTTGGAATCATGTGTGATTGGTTACAATGCGCAAAGCTGTAAAAACGATTAAAAAATAAGATGCAACATGGCCACATTCACACAGCAGCAGAATACAGTTGTCAGGCCTGTACAGTATTTGAGTCACTAATACAGATAAAGTTCTCACAAATTTAAGTGATTTACGGGATTGACAACAGCATTCTAGAAGTCACACTCGTACATTTTCAGGACTCACAACTGTTTTCGGGTAAAGTCCTGCGGTGTGGACGGAACTTTTCTGGGCTGCATTTCCCAAAAGCATCGTAATCCTAAATTGATCGTAGAACCAATTGTCACCAATGGAGCTACAATCAATTTAGGATTATGATGCTTTTGGGAAACGCAGCCCTGGACAACTAGTTGTCTGGCATGTCACACATTGCGAGAGGCGCTTCACCACTGTGTGAATAGGACATTTATATACTCACACCTATAAGCAGGGCCGTTTCTAGCCAATTTGACGCCCTAGGCGAAATCCCTGTTTCGCAGAGACGCTCTGCCCTCTATGACGCTGCTCCCATTAAGCGCTGTTGGAAACGGCCCTGCCTATAAGTAAAGCACTGACAGTGTGAACATAGCTTATATCAGAGCATTGTGCCTGCTAAATAGTCTTTCACACTGTGATAGCTTTGTCTCTTGTATAACTGTGCATTGACTTTTTTTCTCATATAAGTTAAACTCAAACCAATATTTAATGTAAATGTACTTGGTGAACAGCCACATAAGTGGCATAATACAGTCCGCCACTCATTACTGCAAAATAAACCCCTTCACAATGGTGTAAAACTGACAGGGTTTATTTTGGGATAATGACCATGTAGGTTTCAGCACATGTAGCCTATATGACTGTTTTAAGTTATAAGTATAATTTCCCCTAGTTGCAATACCCTACGACCTGTTCCTCAGTACACATTTTGGCCCTAATCATGGCAATTAGATACAATGAAACACCGCAGAGTAAAGACCAATAGATGGTTTTCTATTCGCTTGGTACCGTATGAACTCATTATGTAATGCAACATCCCTGATGTGACTTCTGGCATTTGCAGTTCAAGCTTCTGCAAGGGAAAATCAAATCAATCTCCCATTGACTCTGTCAGCATGTGATGGAAAGCTAATTAAAGGCCCTGAGGGAAGGCTGGTCATTTTATGAAGCATGTAGTGTGATCGGCGAGATGATCCAGTTGTGCAATGCCTGAAAGGTTAGTGCAGGGACGAATCAGGATAACAAAATCATGTGCATGTGCTGATTGGTGGATCACGGCTTGCCTCATCCCCCCTTGATTTAATATAAAACCATGTTTTTTAATCAATTGCTATTGGATTTATAGAGTAAATGCACAATATTGTGCAAATATGCTTTTAATGAGATGGGATTTGTGCCACATAAAACTAGAAAAAATAACATGCTAAACAAATCACTGCAGTATTGATGGATTGAGTTTAGGAGGGGGGGGGGACTGATGCAATCGAGTGCAAGGTCTTTCATTTGACATTGAGTGCTCGCAAACGTAAACAACATGGAAAGCTTCAGCACAAACTCAAAGAGGAACACAAAGGAAAATAGTGAAATAGAGTTGATAAATTCCACATGCATCGTTTTGTTCTAGGCGCAGGGTTAGATAAAAAGATCAGCTTTTGAAATCTCCATCTAACAGACAATGCAGTTAGCTATGAAACTGGGCTTGAATTGACTAGAATTATAGATTACACAAAAGATGAATGGTTAAATAGGATGGGTATGCATGCTTACAAAAGTTTGAAAACCATTTTCTTGTTCGAGTCAACATGGTAGTACTGGGTTTGCTTAAAAATGGCTTGCTGGAGAGCAATATCATGAAATTTTGTGTGGCAGAATATTGTGTTGACTGCATGAGGGACATTTGGTTGGTTGGCATTACGGGCAACTTTTTATGCATGTGGGGGTGCTTTTTTCAGCAATTGCTTGATAAGATCTGCCATGGGGCATTGTCCCGTCAGTTTCTGATCAATTTCTACATCCTGTGAACTCACTGCATGCAACAACTGTGGGGAACAATCACTGTAGCCCAACATTATGCAGAGAGACTGGCTGCGCTTTAATGTGTAAACTCCATGGCTGTAAAATGAAGGAATGATTTTCCTTATCAGGGAAAACATGTTTGTTTATATTCCAAGGAAACTAGACAGCAAATCCCACTGAAATGTAAGTTGATTTGAGTTTGCTTTTGTGGATAACGCTTTGATTGGCTTAGTTATTTCATTTTGTTTGTGCTTACAAACTATAATTTGGGCAAAATTACATAGGAACTGTTTGTGCATGACTTTCTAAACTTGGAATTTGTCAAACATGCTTTTTTTGTTTGTCAAAAGCATGCAAAATGCATGATAACTAATGCATGAATGCAGAAAAAAATAAGAATGAACCAACTTGAACAGTAGAATCAAGTTTGTTGTTCCATGTGCATGACTTTCTAGACTTGGAATTTTATGTCAGACATCTTTTTTTGTTTGTCGAATGCATGCATGTATGATGGCTAATGCATGAATACAGAAATCTAAAGAATAAACCAACTTGAACGTTAGGCTAAACTCCTATTTAAAAAAATTTTTTTTGTCTTAAACTAAGCACGGACATGTGGCGGTGAAGATGGGGGACTGGAACTTGTTGGGGAGCATTTTAGAGGAGGTTCATATTCACTCCACCATCGTGGGTAAAATCTGGCTGACTATCCTGTTCATATTCCGGATGCTGGTTCTTGGCGTGGCGGCCGAGGATGTTTGGGTGGACGAGCAAAGTGAGTTCGTCTGCAACACGGACCAGCAAGAACGTTTGCTATGACCAAGCGTTCCCGATATCGCTCATTCGCTTTTGGGTACTGCAGATCATTTTCGTTTCCTCGCCTTCGCTGGTATACATGGGACATGCTCTGTACCGACTGAGGGCTTTGGAGAAAGAACGGCACAGGAGGAAAATCCAGCTGAGAGCCGAGCTGGAAGAGACGGAAGGCCTCTTGGAGGAGCACAAGAAGTTGGAGAAGGAACTGAGGAAGCTAGAAGAGCAGAAGAAAATTAGGAAGGCTCCTCTGAGGGGCTCCTTGCTGCGCACATATATAATTCATATCCTTACCAGATCAGTGGTGGAAGTGGCGTTCATTGTAGGGCAGTATATCTTATATGGGATTGGACTGGATCCTTTGTACAAGTGCGAGAAGGTGCCTTGCCCAAACAGCGTGGACTGTTACGTCTCCAGGCCGACAGAGAAGACCATCTTCATGGTTTTCATGATTGTCATCGGAGGGGTTTCGTTGTTCCTGAACCTCTTGGAAATATCCCACCTGGGGGTTAAAAAAATTAAACAGACTCTAAGCGGTCTCCAGCTCGTCGAGGACGACAGTCCTTGCAAAACCAAGCACTCGACCATTCAGCAACTGTGCGTAATGACGAATATGTCGCCCCACAAAAACCCGCAGTTGAAAACTTTTATTCCGCAGGGGCAAACGGACCCTCCGCTGTTCTTAACCAGTGCTTACATCGGCTCGAGCAACAACATGCTGCAGCACAACAGTTTCGCCGCGGCCACCCTCCCGGTGTCCTGCATAACCCAGCAGCCCCGGCAAATGCGCCAGCCTAGCCAGGGAATGATCCATGAACTGCACTCCCAAGGGTCCATGGAGTTACTAGTGGACCGGGAAAACTGTGACCAGCATCTAGAGAGCAGTAACGACTCGGAGAGGGATGTTAGGCCTTTTAACTCGGGTCATCTGGGTCCTGAGGGTCATACGGAAATACCAACCTGCCTTCGCAATGCTCTGCACAGGCCCAACCGTGTGCCAGACCTGGGGGATGACACTGTGGAGTCCTCCGAGAGCGACTTCTTTCCGCCCAACAGGAAAGCCAGTTTCATGGTCCGTATGCCCTCAGACAGTATTTCCGGCAGTCCGTCATTTCCCTCCACAAGGAGTTCAGAGTCCGAGCTAGGCTCCCTCAATGACCTGCCCATGAACCCACCACCAGGGGGAGGACGACGGATGTCTATGGCAAGTAGATGCAAATGACACCCAGCTACTGAGCTGGTCATATAAAAGCTTCCTTATCCACAATTACTTTTGGGAATTTTATTGTGGATCAGAATTTTTTTTTCGAGATGAGATTCTGCCAGCTACATTCAAGAAATTTAATTTTATTGATTATAATAAATAATAATTGGGGGGAAAAATCAATGCTCTTTAATAATATAGAAATAATCAATAAGATTATATATATATATATATATATATATATATATGTTTATATTTTCACATTATATATTTTGTTAATATTATTAGTAATAAATATTGATGGATGTTGATAATTAATATTATTATATTTCATGTGTGCCTAATTTGTATACTGATATGAAAAATGTCTTATTTACAGAGTGTATTCTTGGATATCTCTTCCATCATGAAAAAGTGAAAGTAAGAAGGACAGAAGGACAACAGGAATGTAACAGGCCGTTCATGAGCAGAAATGAATGGAGATATCAGTGACAAAGGGTTTCACTCTGATCTGCTCTGCTTGGAAAGCACTGGTCTAACGCAGCTTCATTGTGGTATAAGTAGTGCTGTTTTGTACGGTTCATTTTTTAAAAATTGTAAACACCTTAATTTACCAGTAAAGCACGGTATACATTTTTTCCATGTCTAATTATGGAAGCCAAAAGACATCTGTACATATTTATAAAAGCTTTAGACAGCTGGCAAAAAAGAACATTTTTAAATAATTTAGCTTACATCCATAAAATGTGATGCAAGCTGATGGACTCTTACATCAAATTCTGAAGAAAATAAAAGTTTTCTTATTTCCAACAGTGTTTGAATTCAGGGTGAATACGGATCATGCAAATTGTATACTCAGAGCAAATGATGCAAAACACATTCAATCTGCATAAAACATGCTTGGCAATTTATGTAATATCCTAGTAGACAAATTCAATGTGGACACATTCAAGAATGTAACAAATACAGATTATGAACATTGAGGTCACAACTTTTCAAGATTTGATTAACAAAAGCAAAACAATAATTTTCAAAGAATCCCACAAATACCTATAAACAGAATATGTACAATACATACAAAATCTACATAAAAGAAACGATTGTAAAACGTCTTTTAAAAAGGTTGTAAACCATTTCTGCTACAGACCTTGTCCGAGACGAGAGGTATATCGATTTTACAGGTAGATCTGTGAATGTCAAAACTCTCCCTACTGCATGCAAACTAATAACCAATATTCATATTTGCCCTTATCACAATATTCATATCAAAACTGTGGTGCATCATATAACAAAGGCATGATGCCTGATTTATCCAAATCCATACTCAAAGATCATGAGAATAAAAACTCAGAATATGCACAGAATTCTGAAGAATAAACATTATGAGGACACATTTAAAGTCTTGACAGTCAATTTTTTGAGGAGTAATCTTTTATGGGGCACAAATTAACCTACACGACTATATGAGATTTTTGATAGATTTTTCCCAATGTGAACTTATGCTAACATGTTATAACAATCAGATTCCCAAAACTTTTGGTAAAACAAAATATTAAACATGAAGTTTAATCAAGTCTTACATTTTATTAAAGTCATGCAGTCCACAATAATTTGAAGTAAACAGAGTAAATTAATTAAAACATTAAAACATATACCCCATCTCACCTTTGAACTTAATTATTGTGTCAATGCAGACATGAGTGGCTCCTACACGTGGTAGCTTAAAGCAACAACAATGTTAGAAACAAAAATAGAAATGCAGAATTAAGCTTTTCCAACTGTTTTTACCTTAAGGCTTGAATTTTCACCACATGTTATTAAAGCAAACATGTAAAAGTGTTATAAGACTAGCGAAAATTACACCGAATTGATGGAGGGAGTGAATTGAGAACTTTTAAAAGTGAAAATATTAGGACCAGAGTGGACTGTGGATAAGTATACAAACTTTTTAACATTTAAAAAATTATTAAGGTCTGCAAACGCCCCCCCCCAAAAAAATGTCAAAATTTGCTTTGATTTCTGACCCCAGTAAAATGATAACGTGTGTAACGCCCTGAAGGAATAAAATCAGATCTAAGAAATCGAAGTGTGAGCTGCCAAAATGAACCAAGTCAAAATAACTTAATTTACTAAAGTTTGCTTGGAGAGTTTTATATACAACAGACATCCCTGATCAATCATTTTAACAGTCTAGAAAACCGAGCTTCAAAAAAAAAAAAAAAAAAATCTGTAGAAAAATGCTTCCATATCAAATGATGCTTCATCACAAAATGTTTGAGGGAACATTTAGGCAGCTAATCATCATTGCTTCATCATCTATTTTGTAGAAGAGCTCTCCATTGTACTATTTCAGAAATAGATCAGATGTTGATTTTTCCATGCTGACAAACAGATTGCTTGGCTTCTTGCAAAATCAGGTGAGCAGCTGTTTAGTTTCTCCGTTATTCAATTTTGTAAGGAATGCTTAAATGTACAATAGATACAAAACACTTTCAAACACTCAATATCACATTTGCATATGCTGCTTGATTTAAAGTTACCAAAAAAAAAAAAATCAGCAATTCCTGAGATAAATCTGAGAACCAGATACCATATAATGAATATGAACCCCCCCGAAAAGGTCGTTCAAAACGAAATGACTTTAGCATCCTATACAGCATTTATGAGAACAAATCCATATGCACACACAAACAGAAACACATCAGGTGATGCACCATGAGCGTAACAACAGAACAGCCCACTAAAGTAGTGACAAACAAAACTTAACACTGGCAAAAAAAGTAACATTTGCACACACAGAACCAACTGTCATGATAAAAGATAAGACTGCAGTTTACCGGACTCAGTTTCTCTCAGGCAGCTCTTCTGTCGTACACTTCTCGGTCATTTCCTGGCAGAAATCAGTCGTCACACTTGAGCTGCCCATTTGGGAAGGTTCTGACCTCTCAGAGGTGACAGTGTATTGGGGTGGCACAGCCTCTCTGTCCACTCTAAGGTGTGAGTGTGGTGGTTTGACTATGGCCTGGCAGTCATTTAAGCCTGGGGACAACACCACGCTGTTGTGTGAGGTGAGAGTGACGTCTACACTGGTGGGATTGGGAGAGATTCTCAGGTCTGGACCGGATGAAACTGGGTCTGGGTGTAGATTATACAGAGATTGAGACTGTCCTGGACTCCGCTGTTCTTCCCTACAGACCTCCTGAGACAAAAAGGAGAAGTTTTCCCACAGCTCCCCCATGCAGATCTTCAGCTGGCTGCGTTCGGTTAGGAGCTTCTGTCTCTCACAGACCTAGCAGAGGAGAAATGCATGCAATAATGAAGGTGATTTAGAAAAATCTAGATTCTTGTGAAGCGTGCAAGCAAACGCTCGAAGGTTGTTGGTCGCAGCCTACCAGTTTGTGAATCTCACGCTCCAGGTTCTGGATGCAGTCCAGCTTTCTTTTCCTGCAGCGCTGAGCTGCGACGCGGTTTTTACTGCGGCGTCTCATGTTGTGAATGAAGTCTAGCTGATCTGAGGTCAGCGTATGCATCTTTATCATCAGCTGAAAGTCATTGCGTGGAAGCTCTGTGATCTGGTCTATTGAGAAAGGCAGTTTCACCTGCAAGTTTACAGCATATTAGAGTTAAGATGTATTTACTGCAGCATGTAACTTCATATACAGGAAGAAACTTAATATTAACAAACAACAATTATATATATATATATATATATATATATAT